ATCTCTTCAATCGTTCAAGAATGTTAGTAGCATTATTACTTTGGTAACTGAATAAATATTATATATATTATATTTTTCCTAATATTTTTCAGATCTTAGAAATATCATATTCTGCATTTAACGTCCTGCAAAAACGAAAAAGAAGTAACATAATAGTATAAAATATTAATAATATAGGAAATGGCTAATTTTTCGAGCAATAAAGGATGTTAGAAAATATATATTTTTTTTTATAAAAAAACTCTAGTGTTTATTAATCAATCGAAATTGACAAGCTTACGTTTCGTGCCATATATACTTGGACTTTATCAGAACAGTATAAATTAATATAGAGGAGAGTTGAACCACTTCAAGTATCTCGTTCAAATTTTGCGCCAAGCGCGGAACTGTTAAGTTGCTGTATTATATTATATTGTTGTATTTATATATACTCTCCTCTATGATCAAGTCCTTATATCAATAATTCTCCTCTATGGTCAAGTCTCCCGGACTCTCCCTACATACTATAATAAGATAATGAAAAGATTACCTACATTAGGTTCATTTGAAGCGATTGTTTACAAATGAAAGTAATCAAAGATAGAAATAATTTATAGTATTTACACTGTTCTGATGAAGTATGGCACGAAACGTAAGTTTGTCAATGTTGGTTCATTAAGGGTCGGTTGTTCCAATTTATTGATAAATTAACTGTTAAATCATATGTCTGTTCTTGTTTTATTTAAAGGAAAAACAAAGACACATATATGATTTAACTATTATAGTTAGTTTACCAATAAGTTGGAACAACCCCGGCCCTAATACATACTAAGTTTTATATAAAAAAATATTTTCTAACATCCTTTATTGCTCGGAAAATTGGTTGTCTCCTATATTATTAGTTTATGCTTTGACCGAGCGTGAAGTTTTTTATTGTTATAAAATATAAATGTTTTTTAATCTAACGTGTATTTAGGCATGATGGTTGTGTAGTTTTCCGTAAATTAGTAACACTAAATTTTTAAATATTTATTTCAAGATTTAGTGTAATAAAAGTTATTTTTCAACTTCACTCTTTATTCCGATTTTAAGAAAATATTTACACGAATACATGAACAGTGCATGTAGATATTTTACACTGTAGTGTAAAACACGTTTTGATTTGATATATAAGCAGCACTAATTTTGGTTTTAGCATTAGTAAAAAAAAAAAAAAAAGAATTTCTAAGTCTATGTTACATATAATGTTTTAAATATAGAGTTAATACATTATAATTTTCCTGTACGCATGTCATACCTCGCAGATGTAGATACTGGAAACTTGATAAATATGAGAAGTATATTAAACATCATTCTTACTACACTCGTCTTGTATTCTTATGTAATAAAATGAAAAACTTGCGGAAAATACGATATTCGTCGCAGTTCCGATAGACACATGAGATACACAAATATTTTATTCAATGAGAATATAACAATGTGCGCGAATGTAAAAAACGACATTCCCCTATGACAGCAAGTAGATAAATTTGTGCATTTTTTAATCGGATACATTTATGTATTTAGTGTTTGCAATTTAAATCAAGTTGTAGAATTTAATACTTTATGTAATCTATTTATATAATATATTTTACCTTCTGTATCAAATTCAATTTTTCTCATAATTACCTTACGCCTGGACACATAATTATATAATATATTTAAGATATGACACTTTTCGCAATTCTATAAACTACTTTTTTTTAGATACTTTACATGTGAAAGAAAAGATTTAAATATGCAAATTCTTTCTTTAAATTTTTTAATATATACCGTTGGTGGTATATGGCGACCCGTTGAGTGGTCATCAAATGGTGCTAAGCTGCTGTATAGTATATTTACCTTTATTATAGTATCTTCGGAATACTTTTTGATGATAACTCAATTTATGGATATAGTACTTGGTGTCGACAATATCGATGATTTTGCCACTAATACACTATTGTTCCTGACTTTTGTTAACGTTTGTTGTAAAGCGACTTTCGTTTTGATGCGTCGGAATACGATTATCAATTTGATGCGAATATTGATGAAAACACCGTGTAAACCTCGTGACGAAGACGAATCAGCGATACAAACAAAGTTTGATAGGTTTATCAGGTATACGTATAATTAATTAGAATATTTTATGGTAGAACATTAACGTACCTCGCACGAATTATCGCAAGAATATAGTCCGTTCACTGTATTTTACATATATATACATATTTACATATTTCTTTTTGTCCTGGACCTAATTAAACGTGCGGAATGTTATATTTTTAGCGCTCGCTACAGGACCTTTATTAATTGTTGGACTTTATTCATTTTATATACTTTTAGAATAATCATGGTCATATAGACTTAATGACTTAATAACTAATTATATTTTGTTGAATTAAAAAATATTGTGTTTATAAAATAAATTAAATAGATATTATTTTAAAGCAGTATTACACATAGACACACGCACAAACACGCAACCACAGAATAATTAAATCCTGTCATAAATTAACGCAAATTTTCGTTACATTTACAAAATATATGAGTAAATTTTAAATGTCGTAAATGTACGAAAGTTATATTAAATATAAATTTCTTTCTGTTTACAGGTCATATTCTATAAAATACGCACTAATGGCGACTAGCTCCGTTACAGGCACTACAATAGGATCAGTATTAAATGTTATGCAAGGTCGTACACCTTATCGAATATGGCTGCCATGGAATTATAATATACCTCTTGTTTTCTGGACTATATCCATTCACCAAATTGTATCTTCATTTTTTGCCACAATGATAAGTATCGGCACGGATACCTTAATCTTCGGATTGCTTTTGCAAACGTGTGCCCAGCTTGAAATTTTTGAAAGTCGTCTTCACAAATTAATAATTAATAAAACAGTTAGATGTCTGGAACACGCACTCTCTTCGTCGAATAAAGACAAAACGGAGATAGCGGAGTGTATACGTCAACATCTCAACATTTACAAGTGGGTCACGTAAGAGAATCTGTTTTCATGCATGTATTGAAATGTCTCTTTATTTGTGTGTGTATGATTAAGTGCGTGCGTATTTGAATCTTATTAATTTCTAAAAATTATATAATACTTAAAAATCGCTATTGTCTATAATCATTAAAGTTTATGACGAAAGGATGTTCAAAGAAAAATGGTAATATAACTGACGTTATTTGATATTGATACATATATTTGTTACGAGCTCGAGAACAAAGCACTCTCAGTTTTTATTATATAGTCATTTCGTGATAAGTTGCGTAAGATCCAATATATGTAGAAATTAGGTCTAAATACTCGCCCAGGACCGAGTAGCTCTTGTTTAAGAAAATAAAACATTGCAAATGCTTCAACAATTTTTGGATTCGTAAGAATCATGTTATAAAATTATATATCAGAATTGTTACTACTTTACTCATATGCAATGTATGAACTAACGTGAAACAATTATAGATACGCCAAAACGGTAAACGGTATATTTAACCAAGTGCTCTTCGTTCAATTCTTTGGAAGTATATTAATATTATGTACAAGTGTATATTATATGTCAATACATATTATAGAACTGTCTAAATCTGTAACTATTTTAATGTACACCGTTGGAATGTTTGTACAAATCTACGTTTATTGTTGGTCTGGGAACGAAGTCATTCTTAAGGTAATTAATAATCGATTCTCTACAATATCAGAATGAGATACTTTAGTTAGAAAACTCGCGAGTACTTTTGTGCCAGAAGTGACAAATTTGTTTGTGTTATTTTGGCAGAGTACGAGCGTAGGAGATGCTATATACTGTATGGACTGGCCGCTATTATCAGCTGAAGAAAAGAGAGAATTACTGATAATTATGATACGAAGCACAATTCCTATAAAGTTCACTAGTAGCTTCTTGATCACTCTGTCCCTTCAGTCTTACAGCAATGTTAGTAGAATTTTTGTAACAAATATTTAGGTAGCCATAATAAAATTATTTATATGCGATATTCTCAGTGACACACTTATGGTGCATGGAAAGCACAATCAACATTTTTAATAATAACTTTACCGCATTCTACATCTCATATTTAATTTCTTTTTCAGATTTTAAGAACGTCATACTCAGCATTTAACATACTTCAAAAGTAAAATATCAGTAACCACAAGTAGTATTAGGTATGATAATTCTGTAGTTGTTCATAAATTAGTTAGAAAAACTTAATTTTTGTTTACAAATTTATTTCAAAACCTTACTCTTTATTACGATTCTAAACATCCTGGCGCTAATGCATATATATTAAATATATTTTTTTTTATTCGATGAGAATATAGCAATGTGCGTGAATGTAAAGAACGGCATCCCTCGATGGTTGCAAGTAGAAAAACATACAATTATTGTATTCACAGGAGCGAAAACGAACATCTGGTCTAATAAATGTCTAAACGATTTCATGTCGACTTTTTAATGACTATTATTATTGTTACTAGGGTTAAGAAGTTGAAGCATATAAAACTATATTTAAGTCTGTCGCATGACATGCTGAGTTATATTTGAGTAAAATTCATTGAGTTTTACAATATTAAAACATGTTCATTCATCACATGGATTGGCCATTATTGTCAGTTAACGAAAAAAGAGAATTGCTAATGATCATGATGCGCAGCACTATTCCTATAAGTTTACTAGTAGCTTCTTGATAATTAAATTTATCTCTTCAATCGTACAGCAATGTTAGTAGTATTATTACGTTGGTAACTAAATAAATATATATTACATGTACTATATTTTCTAATTTCTTTTCAAATTTTAAAAACGTCATACTCTACATTTAACGTATCTTCAAAAATAAAATAAAAATAACCAAACAACATGAAATATAAATAACCTAAAATCTAAAGCGTATTTGAGAAGGATAATTGTGTAGTTTTTCGTAAATTTGTGACACTAATTGTAAATCTTGAAATTTTTGTTTGCATATTTATTGCAACTTTACCTTTTATTCCGATTTTATTGGGATAATTAACGCGAATGCATGAACAATGCATATAGATATTTTGCACTGTAATGCCATGCACATTTCGATTTGATGTACGAGCAGCACTAATTTCGGCATTAAAGTAAGAAAAGAAAAATAATATCTCAGTTCTATGCAACATATGATGCATTAGATGAAGAATTGATGCATAGTAGTTTATCTGCACACTTCAACACTTGTCATACCTCACAGATGTAAAAACCGGTAACTTGAGAAAAACGCTCCAAGTGTTATACATTATTTTTATCGCTACACTCGTCTGGTATTTTTATGCAATAAAACAAGAAACTTTGCGGAAGATACGATATTCTTCGTAGTTCCGATGGACAGGAGACGTACAAATATTTTATTCAACGGGAATATGACAACGTGCGTGAAAGGAAAAGATCTCTCGATAATTGCAAGTTGGAAAACGTTTATCATTGTAGTATTTGCAAGAACGGAAAGAAACGTGCACTCCATAATAAATGATTACACTACATGTCGACTTTTTAATGGCCATACATAATTGATAGTACTAGGGTTGACAATACGCTGAAGGGGGTAAAACTATGTATAGTACACCGCAAGGCGTATACTCGGTTGCATTTAAATAAAATTTATTGTTCATTATGGTAATAAAATAACATGTTATTTTATCAATATTAATATTTGTCATTCTGTTGCACTACTAGCCACAATTTTGAGAAGCCGATATTCCAGAAAAAGGTGTGTGATAAATGCTGACAAATACTGCCTTGTAGTTATATTCGCACTAATCACATATTGCACTACGTTTAAATAAGGTCATTCAATTTTTAACCCACGATAGCATTGGACGCGATCTATACGTTAAACGAATAAAATTTTTCTCAATCGGATAATTGCATTCGGTATTTAGTGTGCAATTTGAATATCAGTTTGTGGAATTTAGTACATCGCGTGGTCCAGATCATACAAAATTATTTCATCTTCTATATTCAATTCAATTTTTCTTATCATTACTTTATAAGCCTAAATATTCAATTAATATATTTAAGAAAAGATATTTCTCGTAATTCATTAAATTACTTTTTTAGATACTTTATATGTAGAAAGAAGCTATACTTTAGTGCAATACATCGATAAATTGTTTGTGAAAAAGGAGATCCAAATATGCAAATACTTTCTTTCAATTTTTTAATGTATACCCTTGGTGGTATATGGCGACCTGTTGAGTGGTCATCTAATAGTGCCAAGCTACTGTATAGTATATTTACCTACGTTATAATGTCATTCGAATACATTTTATTGTTAACTCAATTTATGGATATTATTTTCGTTGTCAATAATATCAATGATTTTGCCACTAGTTCTGTAATATTCTTGACTGTTGTTGCCGTTTGTTGTAAAGCGACTGTCGTTGTAGCACGTCGGAATGCGATTATTAGCTTGGTGCAATTATTGTTGGAAGCACCATGTAAACCTCGAGATGAGAACGAAGTGGCAATACAAACTAAATTTGATAAACTTATCAGGTAGGTATCACACACAATTATTAGAATAATTGACTGGTATTAAAGTAACTGTGTAGAATGTCTACTCAATAATATAATTCGTAATTTGATACGTATTATTTCTGACTTTTTTTGGATTCAATTAGCATTGATAGAAGTTCAGACTTTATCACTTCATGCGATTACCTTGCTTTATGCTAAATTTTGAAAATTTTATATTTTAGCGTTACTTTTTCCTTATTTTTTAACGTAATAATTTCTCACATTGTTGAATTAATAAATGTTTCTTGTAGAACAAATTTCTAAATATTTTTTTAAAAACACAGATTTTGAAATTTTGACATACGCGCGTAAAACATACATATAAACAAATAGAGAAAAAAAGAGAGAGAGAGAGAGAGAGGGGGAGGAAACAATCATAGACACACATATAAATAACAATTATATCATATCACTATAAATTGCTGGAGAATTTATAAATGCAAGCAAATTTGCGTTACTATAAAAGTACGAAAATTAATAAAATATAATTTCAATTTTATATTTACAGGTCATGGTCAATAAAATACTCTCTTCTGTGTATGATCTCCCTTACAGGAGTCTCAATAGGATCAGTATTAAACATTATACAGGGTCAACTGCCTTGTCGAATATGGCTGCCATGGGATTACAATGTACCTCTAATATTTTGGATTATATGCATTCAGCAACTCATGAGTCATATTTTCGGCACTATCATAGGTCTCGGCACAGACACCTTAATCTTCGGATTGTTTATACAAACGTGCGCCCAGATTGAAATTTTTGAAAGTCGTCTTCATAAATTAATAATTAACAACACAGTTAGATATCTGGGACATGCACTCTCTCCGTTAAATGAAGATAAAACGAACATATCGGAAATAATACGTCATCATCTCAGCATTTACAAGTTAGTCGAATCCCTTTGTATCTTACACGAACATGTCTTTACATATGTGTGTTATTTAATTGCAATATTTATTAAACGCTATTTTCTATTCGATTTTTATTGATTTTTATGGCATTTATAATATAAAGTTGTGTAAAGTTGATAGATAATGTAACTAATACCGTTTGGAATTAAAAGATAATTAATTAATACGATCTCAATAATAAAACGTTATCAATGTAACTTCAATATATTGTTATATAAATATATGTTCGATATGTTATTATTCCGTGATGATTTGCGTATGTACAAAAACAAATTAGATCTATACTTGCTTTAAAACAAAAAGTCTTTGTTTCGGTAAATAATACACACGTGATTTTTTTACATTTTTAAAATTTTTAAGAAATATGTTACATAATTACATAAGCATGGATGGTAGTGGCTTTACTCATTTACAAGGCAAAATTAATATGAGACCTATTACAGATATGCCAAGACGGTAAACGTTACCTTCAATCAAATACTCTTTATTCAGTTTTTTGTTAGTATTTTGGTAATATGTACAAGTGTGTATTATCTATCAATGCATATTACGGAACTGTTTGAAATTGGATTGTTTGTAGCATATACCATTTGCATGTGTGTACAAATCTATATTTATTGCTGGTCTGGAAACGAAGTCATGCTTAAGGTAACTATCGGCATTCTACGTCTACCTATCAAATACACGTACTTTATTGATAATGAGGTAATTAACAATTGGAAATATTTTTATGCAACTTAATTTTTAACAACATTTTTGAGGTAATCTAACTTCTTTAACAAATAAGAAACAATTTTATACTCGAATAAAAGACATTCATATGTGTATGCATAATATAAAGGATAGCAAAAAATTCCCGCATGTGGAGTACAAGACTTGATTCTTTTTTATGCTAAGACACAACTTTATACTAATTAAGAAACAACCATTAGCAAAATTGTTTTAATGTAGTAATACTATGTAATTGTTATACGTAATTGTGTAATATTTAGAATAATAGAGAATGCTCAGCTCACAAAACATATTACTATTTACATTTTCTTTATATTCAGATTTTCAGTGCTCGGAATCAGACAATTCTTTTACTTATTTATTATGCAAGGAATATTTATTTTGTCAATTTTTATCATATTTCAAGCAATATAATACAGAAAAAGGTCAAAGCCTAGGTACAAGCGATTGAGAAGTGCGCGTCGGCCTTGAGTGCCATGTAGCAAGAACGCACATTCGTTAACTTGCTCCTCAATAAAAACTACTTATCGGACGCAATTTTGCTACAGAAATTGTTTCTTTTAGCATAAAGAATCACGTCTTATACTCCATGCGGGAATTCTGAGACACTCCGTATCCACACACATACACATCAATATATATTATTGTATAGTAATAATATTACGTATGTTTTATCAAAAGAGTATGGGCATAGGAGACGCTGTATATCATATGGATTGGCCATTATTGTCAGTAAACGAAAAGAAAGAATTGTTGATGATCATAATGCGCAGCAGTATTCCTATAAAGTTCACTAGTAGCTTCTTGATAACTTTATCTCTTCAATCGTACAGCAATGTTAGTACCATTATTACTTTTAACTAAATATATTATATATACTATATTTCCTAATATTTTTCAGATCTTAAAAACATCATATTCTGCATTTAACGTACTTCAAAAATGAAATAGAAGTAACGTGATAGTATAAAATATAAATGTTTTTTCATCTAACGCGTACCTGGGCATGGTGGTTGTGTAGTTTTTTGTAAATTAGTAACACTAAGTTTTGAAATTTCTATTTCAAGATTTAGTATAATAAAAGTTATTTTTCAACCTTATTCTTTATTCCGATTTTAAGAATATTTACACGAATGCATGAACAGTGCATGTAGGCATTTTACACTGGTAGTGTAAAGCAAGTTTTGATTTGACATAAAAGCAGCTCTAATTTTGGTTTTAGCATTAGTAAAAAAAAATAACTTTTAAGTCTATGCTACATGTGATGTATTGAGTATAAAGTTAATACATTGTATTTTACCTGTACTTGTCATACCTCGCAGATGTACAGATCAGAAACTTGAGAAAATATATACAATATTCTTTTTTTGCAGTTCCGATAGACAGAAGATATACAAATATTTTATTCAACGGGAATGTAACAATGTGCGTGAATAATGTGGCAGAAAAGTGAGAAATTAAAATTTCCCTCGACGTCAACACTTTACTCCTCGAAGAGTTGCGGAAGTCATCACGTTTATAATGCGTTAATCCTAACTCACGCTTAATGTAAATCTTTGTGTTTTTACGGTTTGGCGACTTAGATGTTCGTTTAATTTCGCGCGTATTATCAAGCGCCGTGGAATTTTCGGACACGCGTGCGTGGAAAGATCGATAATATCCATCTTTATCGAGTAAGAAACGGGGGAAACGGGCCACGCAGCAATGAGGAAGAAGAGAGGAGACACTTCCCTTCCGTCTGTTGAAGCGAGTGGTCAGCCTTCGAGAAACCTTAATTGTATATTTTAGTATATTTAAGTGAAAATTTTGATTTTGTGGTTCGGGATTTATCCCACTTTGGATAGTATCGGACAGTGCAGAAATCCGCCAGTTAAAATTAATCGGGGAGTCTGTAAGTTAGAATAAATTTATATTTTTTCACCTCAACTTCCGTCTTGCAAATCTATTTATCTATTTCCCTTGGGTCCACCAACTGAACCTGCGCAGTGTTGTCTCATTTTCGTCAGTCAAGGTTTATCGGTTCCGACAAAACCGATTGGTAAAAGCTCTATTAGCCGAGGGAGTCGGCCGCGGCAGGTGTGGATTCACAAATGCTGTCTCAATGTAAAAAACATCCTTCGATGATTACAAGTTGGAAAACTTTTACAATTGTAGTATTCACAAGAACGGAAAAGAACGTGCACTCCATAATAAATGATTACACTACTTCATGTCGACTATTTAATGGCAGTATATAATTGATGGTACTAGGGTTGACAATATGCTGTAGCAGGTAAAACTATGTATTGTATATCGCAAAGCGTGGCCGGTGTTGCATTTAAATGAAATTTGTTGACCATTACGATAATAAAATAACATGTTGTATCAACACTAATATTTATCGTATAAAATTTTGTTGCATTATTAGCCACAATTTTGAGATGCCGACATTCCAGAAAAAGGTGTGTGATAAATGCTGATAAGTACTGCATTGAGAATATGTTCATATAAAACATACATTGTATTACGTTTAAGTAAGATCATCCGATTTTTATCCCGCGATGATATTAAATACTATCTGTATGTTAAACTATTAAAATTTCTCGCAATCGGATAATCACATTCGGTATTTAGTGTGCAATTTAAATATCAGTTTGTGGAATTTAGTACATCGCGCGGTCCGGATCATACAAAATTATTTCATCTTCTATATTCAATTCAATTTTTCTTATAATTACCTTATACGCCTAAATATTTAATTAATATATTTAAGAAAAGATATTTCTCGCAATTCATTAAACTATTTTTTAGATACTTCACATATAGAAAGAAGCTATATTTTTGTGAAATACATCGATAAGTTATTTGTAAAGAGATATAAATATGCAAATACTTTCTTTCAATTTTTTAATGTACGCCGTTGGTGGTATATGGCGACCTATTGAGTGGTCCTCGAATAGAGCTAAGCTGCTGTATAGTATATTTACCTGTGGTGTATTATCTTTGGAATACTTTATGGTGTTAACTCAATTTATGGATATATTACTTGTTGTCGAAAATATCGATGATTTTACCGCTAATACACTATTGTTCTTGTCTTTTGTTAACGTTTGTTGTAAAGCGACTTTCGTTGTGATACGTCGAAATGCGATCATCAACGTAGTGGGATCATTGTTGAAAGCACCACATAAACCTCGAAACGAGGATGAAGTAGCTATCCAAACGAAATTTGATAAATTTATTAGGTAAGTGTCACGCACAATTATTAAAATAATCTAATAATGATTTATTATATAGAGTAACCGCATAGAATGTATATGCAATAACGTAATTCGTATACAATTAATACGTATTATTTCTTATCTTTTTGGATTCAATTAGTATTGATAAAAATTGAGATTTTTTATCACTTCATGCGATTATATCTTACCTATTTTTTGCTAAATTTTTTGATAATTTTGTATAACATCACCTTTCTTATATTTCTTCACGTAACCAATTCTTACATTTAATTAAATTAATGAATGTTTTTTGTAGGACAAATTTCTAAATATTATTATTAAAACACAGACTTTGAAATTCTGACATACGCGCGTAAAATATACATACAAACAAATAGAGAAAAAAGAGAGAAAGAGAGAGAGAGAGGGGGCGAACAGTCATAAACACACGTATAAATAACAATTACATCACATCACTATAAATTTCTGCAGAACTTATAAATGCAAGCAAATTTTCATTATTATAAAAGTACAGAAATTTTAATAAAATATAATTTCACTTTTATATTTACAGGTCATGGTCAATAAAATACTCTCTTCTGTGTATAATCGGTCTTGCAGGAGTCTCAGTAGGATCAGTATTAACCATTATGCAGGATCGACTGCCTTGTCGAATATGGCTGCCATGGGATTACAATGTACCTCTAGTATTTTGGATTATATGCATTCAGCAATTTATGTGTCCTATTTTCACCACTATTATAGGTCTCGGCACAGACACCTTAATCTTCGGATTGTTCATACAAACGTGCGCCCAGATTGAAATTTTTGAAAGTCGTCTTCATAATAAATTAATAATTAACAACACAGTTAGATATCTGGGACATGCACTCTCTCCGTTAAATGAAGATGAAACAAACATATCGGAAATAATACGTCATCATCTCAGCATTTACAAGTTAGTCGAATCCCTTTGTATCTTACACGAACATGTCTTTACATATGTGTGTATGTTATTTAATTGCAATATTTATTAAATGCTATTTTCTATTCGACTTTTATTGATTTTTATTGGTATTTATAATATAAAGTTGTGTAAAGTTGATATAGATAATGTGACTGATACCATTTGGAATTAAAAGATAATTAATTACTACAAACTCGATAATAGAGCGTTATCAATGTAACTTCAATATATTGTTATATAAATATATGTTAGATATATATATGCTTGTTATTATTCCGTGATAGTTTGCGTATGTACAAAAATAAATTAGATCTATACTTGCTTTAAAACAAGAAGTTATTGTTTTAGTAAATAATACACACATAATTTTTTTTATACACATTTGAAATTTATGACATATATGTTACATAATTATAGTATGGGTAGTAATGGCTTTACTCATTTACAAGGCAAAATTACATTACAGATATGCCAAGACGGTAAACGATATCTTCAGAGAGGTATTCTTTATTCAGTTTCTTGTTAGTACGTGTGTAATATGTATAAGTGTGTATTATCTATCAACGCATATTATGGAATTGTCTGAAATTGGGGAATTCTTAGGATATGTCATTGGCATGTGTGTACAAATCTATATTTATTGCTGGTCTGGAAACGAAATCATGTTTAAGGTAACTATCGGCATTCTACGTCTACCTATCAAATTCATGTACTTTACTGAGATAATGATAATAAGATAATGAACAATTGCGAGTATTTTCGTACAACTTAATTTTTAACGAAATTTTCGAGGTAATCTAACTTCTTTAACAAATTGTAAGCAATTTTATTTTGTTAATTTTTATCAAATTTTAAGCAATATGATACAGAAAAAAATCAAGAACCATGTACAAGCGATTGAGAAGTGTGCATCGGACCTGAGCGCCACGTAGGAAGAACACACATTCGTTAAATTTAACTTGCTCCTCAATAAAAACTACTTATCGAACTCAAATTTGCTACAGAAAAAAGTTGTTTCTTTTAGCATAAAGAATCACGTCTAATACTCCACATGCGGGAATTCTGGGACACCCTATATTCATACATATACAAACACACACACACACGTTGTGTAAAATAAATAATATTACGTTATTCAATATATATTATTGTATACTAATATTATATAATAATGTTATGTATGTTTTATCGAAAGAGTATGAGCATAGGAGATGCTGTATATCATATGGATTGGCCATTATTGTCAGCTAAAGAAAAGAAAGAATTGCTGATGATCATGATGCGCAGCAGTATTCCTATAAAGTTCACTAGTAGCTTCTTGATAACTTTATCTCTTCAATCGTTCAAGAATGTTAGTAGCATTATTACTTTGGTAA